CATGGATGTGAGAAAAGTGTAACCGCAGCTTTGCTTTTTGGAGTGACTGGTGAACCGGATTCCTAGTTTTTGAAGCTGCGCAATTGAACCTATTATTTATTTCTATCTTCCAGAGATAGACCAGTGTCTTCCCGCTTCCAGTGCAATCGACACTGGTAGCGGAGCCCGGACGAAAGGGCTTGGGAAAAGAGAGCATGGCAGTTGGAAGCGAGGAGACATCTTTGTCAAAGTTGCCGACATGGAATGGAGACTGGAGCCAATTCCGGGTCTATGAGATGAAGGTCTCACTGGAAGTGGACTCAGTCAAGAAGGAGGACAGATGCCTAGTGGGGCCCCGCTTGGCAAAAGCGCTGGTGGGAAAAGCTTGGGAGTTCGTTGAAGGACTGGACCGGAACAAATTGCGTAGTCCTATCTCATTCAGTATTTGAAGGAGCAGAGGGGGAGAGATAAAGCAGATCTTCTCGGTGATTCCTTTCGTGACCTGTTCCAAAAGGCCGACGTGCACCGCAGGGACAATGAGGAATTCACCGAATACCTTCCACGGTTCAAGAACTACGTGAAGGAAGTTCAGAATGCTATGAAAGAACTATAGATGAGAACAAGTCCATGCCCTCAGAGTTTTTTGGATGGTTTTTGTTGAATCAGTGCATGCATCTGGAACCGTCAGATGTGGCTACCATCAAAGCCAAAGCCGAATCCTATGAACTCACCAAGATCGAGAATGCCATCAAGATGATGTGGTCAGGTGGGGGGCCTGGCTCAAAACGATCAAGAGCGGAAAAATATGTAGACTTGGAACTAGAGTTTCATGGCCATGGAAGAGAGAGGACAAACTCATTCGATCTATGAGGTCGAAGTTGAACGAGAAGACCAGGTTGAAGAAGAAGACGAAGAAGACTCAGCTTGGTCTCAATTTGATGATCTAGCCGCAGCTGTTCTTGAGGATCCCGAGAACGAACAGTTGCTGACCGCCTTCCAGGACATGAAGAAGAAACTCCAGTACAGGGATGCTCGAAAAATGCTGGCAAAGTCTCGGATTGCTCGAGACTACTATCCAGTGGAGAATCCCAAGTATACAAAGCCTTTCAAACGAGATGGTGGAAAGATGAGTCAAAAGTTTTTCATGGTGACTGCATGCGATGTGGCAAGTATGGTCATCGTGCTCGTGACTGTCCCCAAAAGAAGCCAAAGAGAAGTGGAAAAGTGAATTTTCTGCATGATGGATCGAACGGTGAGGTGCACCTGGCTTGTGAGAAAGGTGATGCATCCAACTACATGGTTTTGACGAGCGCCGATGAACCATTTGAACCCATCTTTGCCGTGAACTCAGAAGAAACCAGTTTTTGTGGAATCCTTGACTCCGGTGCCTCAGAGACAATCATCGGAGTGGATACGCTGCAAGAGCTCTATGAATGCTATGAGCGACTTGGTTTTGAGGCACGGAAAGAGATTGAAGTGGACCGATCTTTACACAAGTCATTTGTGTATGGAAATGGTCAAGCAAATGATGCACTTGGGCTAGCAAAAATCAACATAGGACTGCTGGGGAAAGAAACCACTATGGAGGCTCATGTCGTCGAGGGCTCTACGCCCTTGCTGCTTTCCTCTAGGTTCTTGTACGACCATGATGTGACAGTGAACTTCAAGAAAGGCTGGGCTCATTTCGCCGAGATGACCGAACACAAGGTGCAGCTGGCGAGAGCTCCAAGCTTTCATTTGATGATGTCCATCTTGCAGTTCCCGGGCAGTCGTGAAAAGACACATGAGATTGTGACAGAAGCTCCCGGACATGTACTGAGTGCTGAGTTGCCAGTGAGTGACAAACGCCCGACAGATGAGTAGGGACAGCTCCACCTGGGGTTAAATGGAACGGATGGACAACCTCAGAGTGGATGTCAGAATGACCATCCTTCTGTACAGAATTTTGAAACGACCTCTGACTCCGAAATTCCCTTGTTTGTTGATACGAGTGAGCCTGGTTTGTGTGAGAGTAGGCAGCTTTCTTCTAGCCAAATGGAGGTGCTGTCCCATGGATTGTACGAAGTGAGTAGGAACACGATGAATGCTCTCGATGTCCTGTGTCAGAAGGGTGTTGATTTGGTCGAAGTGTGTGCCCCCTGGGACTCCCCTTTGTGTGACAGTGTGGAACGCTTGGGGGGGAAAACCTTGCGTTTAGGGTTACACAATGGTTTTGACCTGTCGACCAAGGAAGGACTAAGGAAAGCATCCAAGGTTTTGAGATAATGTCGACCACGCAAGGTGCACCTCTCACCTCCTTGCTTCCCTTGGACAGCCTTTCAGAATCTCAATCAGAAGACAGAGCAGCAGAAGCTCAATCTTGTTCACAAACGACAAATGGGAAGACGGCTCCTAAAGAATATGAGAACCTTGGCTGATTCAGATGTTTGAGCTGCAAGGAGACATTAGTGGAGAACAGCCATGGACCGCAAGCTCATGGAATGAGAAGCCATGGAATCACATTTGTAAACTAGCAGGTGGTCGGTTCAAGGTTGATGGTTGTGCTTTTGGGTTAAAGGATGTTGTGAGTGGGAAACTCATGCACAAGAGTTGGGGTTTCTTTTCGTCTCACCCGGGTGTTAAACGACGTTTGGGAAAGACTTGCAACCATGCACCACATGACCATGTTCGCATTGAAGGAAGATTAACGGCTTTGAGTGCTGTTTATCCGAGAAAACTGTGTGATGCGTTTGCAAAAGGACTGTTTGATCGCACTGTTGAGTTTACTGCCTTTTCGCTTGATGTTGCTCACCTGTGTGCTAAAGAAACACATTTCGAGAAATGTGCGGGAATCTTTGCAAGCAGGAGCGCGCAAAGTGACGCAAGGCCTGGGGAGGAGCAGGATGATGGGGAAAATAAAGAGGAAGGAGAAGCAATAGATGGGGAGCGCAAAGGACGGGATGAGCAAGGAGAGGAACCGGAAGAGGACTTGACCCCCGAGGAAGTGACCAAATTGAAACTGGTGCACAGAAACCTTCAACACCCCAGTTCTGCAGTTTTGATTCGCGCCATGAAACACGCAGGAGTGGCTGAACGCTTCATTCATGCTGCAAAACGTTTTGAGTGTGAATTCTGCAAACGACAAGCCTTGAGAAAACCCGTTCTACCAGCTACCTTAAATCAGGTTCAGGAAAAATGGCAGGTTCTCAGCATTGACACTTTCTGGTGGAAGCATCCAAAGCCTGGTCCAGACGGCAAAGAGAGACATGTGATCGGCCTGAGCTATCTAGATGAAGCCACTGACCTCCATGTGGCAAGCGTTGTCGGAGAGAGTGGGGGAATGCCTGCGTCAGTTACAGGGGACGAGTTTCGGAAACGTTTCGTGAAAGACTGGCTCAAGTGTTTGCCAAAACCCCAGGTTATTCGAAGTGATGTTGAAGGATGCTTTAGGGGGCCCAACACGGTTTCTTGGTTAGAAGATGTTAGAAGAACAAATGATCTCTGTTGCCCCCATTGCTGGTGAAGCCTACTGGCAAATTGGTAAACACTCTCGGCATCTTTCCACTTTGAAAGAACAGATGACAAAGTTGGCTTCTGAGTTAGAAGTCGATGTGAGCCCCAAAGAGAAACTGGCTTTGTGTGTCTCAGCGAAGAACGAGATGCATGCAATAAAGGGGTATAGTCCGAATCAATGGGCTTTTGGTCAGAACTCGGATAGAACCTTTTCGACGTTGCACTGTTATCGACATCTTCCCAATGTTCTGAATGATGAACCTGGATTCCATGAAAACATCAAGAAGATGGCTTTGGCTAGAGAAATTTTCATCAGGTGTGACAGTGAACGGAAGATTGCTAGAGCGTCTCTTTTGAAGAGTAGAAAGGCTCAGGATTTTCATTGTGGCATGTTAGTGTATTACTATCGAAAAGGTCGAGGCAGAGGTGCTAAGGTTAGGGGACAATGGCATGGACCTGCTCGAGTTCTTTTCATTGAACGGACCTGTGAAACGGACAGACATGTTTCAGGGTCGGTGATTTGGGTGTCTCACAGCACTTCTTTACTTCGATGAGCGCCTGAACAACTTCAACCTGTCGAGAAGGATGTGAGTGCAATTGATCAGACTGTGAATGGACCTTTTTCTCCTGATGAGTTCATGAAAGGAAAACATGTCTTTGTGGATCTGTTTGACGAAAAGGATGTGATTGAACAAGACAATGACAAAGACGAAGAAACCGCTTGGAAACATGATCCGAATGACATGACTTTTGATTTGGAAGATGATGGAAGTCGTCCTGAAGGACCTCTGAAACGTCGCCGTTTTCTGACCAAGCAATCTCTCGACAGCTCCCAGCTTGATCGCATCGCAGGTCAACCCGTCGTCGTTGACGAACATGGACCTGAGCAGCCGTGTGAAGATGGTTCAGAAGAAGGAGGAGGAGGAAAAGACCAAAGAGGTGAACCTCGAAGGGATGAGCCTCCACCAATTGTCCAGTATGACCTTGACCAGCGGCAAGCACACGGGCAAGACCTTCGGATGGGTGTGGGACAACGAGTCCTCCTACGTGGTGTGGGTGGCGAGTCGTCTCAGGCCAGAAGGGGAGTGGAAGGCTTTCCTGCATTTCATCCAGAAGAAGACGGAAAGCCTAGAGCTGGAGCAACGACAGGCAGCGGGGTCGAGCAAAGGACCGACGAGTCGGACCAGTGGCTACCTTCCAACAGCTCCTATGACGCCATCCGAACGAGATCTCGAAGACCTGAGCTTGGACCTTGCATGGGAACCCGTCGAAACATTCAAGACCGGGAACACCAAGCGTCCACAGGAAGAGACGGACGAGAACACGGTGCTCATGGCGAAAGCTCTTCAGCAGATCACCCAGCGCTTGGAACAGCTCGAGATGGTGACCAAAGAGATTGTGACCAAGATGAACAGCTCGTGACGCAGCTAAAGAGAGAAAGCATGCCATCCTCATCCGATGTAGAACACAAGGACAAACGTTTGAGAACGGGCGTTCAAAAACACAAAAAGGTGTGTGAAATTGTTTTTGCATGTTGGTCCTCGTGATGTTTACTGTAAGAAGGACAGAGGAAATGGCATCTGGACGGTGAACGCGAAAGCCAAACGTGGCGCTGAGGTCATTCTCCGTGACCTAAGTCCTGGAGAAAATGAAGAGTTCGATATGGCTAAAGGTAAAGAAATAGATTCCTATATTGAACACGTTGCTGTGGACATATACAATCTTCATGGTGTTGACAAAGATAGGATTCTAGGTATGAGATGGGTGTTAGTTTGGAAACCAATCACAGATGAATCAGGGACTCTGACTGGCCGAAAGGCCAAAGCTAGGCTGATCATCAAAGGTTTTCAGGACCCAGATTTGCTCCACATCAGTCGGGACTCACCGACTTTGTCGACACTTGGCAGAAATCTTCTCCTGTCTCTCACAAGCCATTTTGGATGGGAACTGTGAACTGTGTCTAGGTGATGTTAAAACGGCCTTTTTAAACGGAGACGACACGGAACTCTCTCGGATGATATTCGGCAATCCTCCGGATGATGTGAAAACGTACCTCGGCATGACAAAAGATCAGGGTTTTCGAATTAGGAAAGCAATTTACGGTTTGTTGAATGCTCCCAGACAGTGGTTGAGCAAGCTGGCCAAGGAACTCAAAAACCAAGGGTGGAAACAATGTGTTCTTGAACCATGTATTTGGCGGTTGTTTAGTGAAGGTAAACTGGTTGGTTTGTTGGGGGTTCATGTGGATGATGTTATAGTTTCTGGGTCTGGTCCGGTTTATGAAGCTAAAATCACTGAACTTCGAAACACGTTTCCGTTCGGGAGTTGGAAGAGCGCGCAAAAGGAAAAGACTGTGTTCTGTGGATGTGAGCTCTCTCAGAAGAACAATGGAGAAATCAACCTGAAACAAGAAAGATATGCTTTAGGTTTGAATGAGGTAAACATGACGAAAGAAAGAAAACAAGAACTGGAAAATGAAGCTACTGATAAGGAAAAACATGAAATGAAAGGACTTCTTGGAGGACTCGCTTGGAGAGCGAATCAGACAGCGCCCTGGCTGAACGCAACCACGTCCATTCTCCAAGGACACAATCGTTCTGCGACTGTGAAGGAGGTTTTGCAAGCCAACAAACTGTGTAGATTACAAAGGGCTAAGGCTGAAGTAGGCTTGAAGTTTTCTCATGAAATTAGAGATCCTATGGTTCTTTCCTTCACGGATGCTAGTCATGCAAACAGAGCGGACGGTTCTTCTCAGGGAGGGTCAATCACCTTGTTGACTGATCGGAAAGTTTTGGACGGACATGTCGCCCCTTTTTCAGTGCTTAGTTGGCACAGCAGAAAGCTAAAACGACTAGCTAGGAGTTCTACTTGTGCGGAGGTTCAGGAATGCGCTAACACTTGTAACGAAGTAGAATTTGTGAAACAGGTGATGTATGAGATTCTCCACGAACAAGGTATTAAGGCCAGAAATTCAGATGAATGCGTTGCGAGCATCCCGGCTGCAGTGGTTTGTGATGCCAAAAACCTGTATGACTCGGTGAAAAGAGTTGTGTCATCTGGTTTACAAATGGAGGAAAAACGTTTGTCTTTGGAGATTCTGAACATAAAAGAAAGGACGGAAACCACAAACACGGACTTGAAATGGACTGATTCTGACCAACAAAGAGCTGATGATCTCACGAAAATCTTTGAAGTGGACAAACTTTTGGACATGATCCAAAGAGGTGTTGTTGGTATCTCTTGGGATTCGAAATTCATTTCGGCGAAGAGAAAGCGTCGGGAAAGAAGCAGTGCAAAAGAGTCAGAGGCAAGTGGACATGTTGAGCAAGAAGAA